TGTTAGCTTGCTTGTGCTTCAGGACATATGTTTCTTGCTACGTTAGCTTGTGTTTCAGGGAATGAAATTTGTTGTTCTGTGTTTAGCAATCTGAAGTTTTTGAGTTTAGTTTTCTGTATTTCAGATTCCTTAAGGCTTTCTTACTAACTTGTGCTGCTTCCACATTAGCTTTGCTTGTGCAGGACATATGTTTTTTTTTTCTTATGCTGCGTTGTGTGTCTGTGTTGTGTGTTTGCAGTGTTTTCGAGGTTAAAGACAAGGGACCAAGAATGGTACTTCTACAGCGCGTTAGATAAGAAGTACGGTAACGGTGCAAGAATGAACCGAGCAACTAACAAAGGCTACTGGAAAGCAACTGGTAAAGACAGAGAGATTCGTCGTGATGTTCAGATTCTCGGTATGAAAAAGACACTCGTTTTCCACAGTGGTCGTGCTCCAGACGGGCTCCGGACCAATTGGGTCATGCACGAGTACCGCCTTGTGGACTATGAAACTGAATCCAATGGAAACCTTGTGGTATATTTTACTTATTGGTTTATTCTGGTACTGTCCAAAGAATATAATCCTAAGTTAACTTCCTATGTTAAACTCAATTTCTTGTGCAGCAAGATGCATATGTGTTGTGCAGAGTGTTCCACAAGAACAACATTGGGCCACCAAGTGGGAACAGATATGCGCCATTCTTGGAAGAGGAGTGGTCTGATGATGGTGTAGCTATGATTCCAGGAGTAGATGTTAGGGTCAGGGCAGAGCCACTACCATTAGCCAATGGAAACAACCAGATGGGTCAGGTTTGTACTTTCCTTCACAACCTTTTGTTTTCGTTTTTGAGTATTTTGTTATATGCAAAACTATGTGTTGAAACCATCTCTTAAGTGGTTTCAGTGGGCTAACTCAGTTTATTTGAACTGGACTAGTCTATTGAAAATTCACTATAGTAATTCAATGTTACTAAGTGCAAGTGCTGATATTATCTGATAAATCATTTCTCTAAACTCTCTTGATTTACAAAATGTCATGTTTCTTATATATGCAAAAACTTATTGATGAAAGTGAGTCTTCTCTAAGTGTTGTTTCAGTTGTCTCATCAGTGAAGTTGACCTTACCGTTTTCGTAGGCAATCCAGCTAGAAAGCAAGGACCTCATTAACATCAATGAGCCTCCAAGAGAGACTACCCAAATGGATATTGAACTTAACCATCAGAATCATCATGAGAGTGTCATCAAGCCGCAAGAGAATAACAACACTAACCATTGTGGTGAAGTTGAGGAAGCACTCAAACGTGAGCAAGCAGAAGAAGAATCTGAGCGTCCTCCTCCTCCTCCTCCTGTATGTGTTCTCAACAAAGAAGCTCCGTTACCTCTCCTCCAATACAAACGCAGACGCCAAAACGAATCAAGCAGGACCACACAGGACCACTGCTCGTCCACAACAACAACCGTCGACAACACACCAACCTTAGTCTCATCTGCTGCTACTGCCACCAACACAGCCATCTCTGCATTGCTTGAGTTCTCTCTCATGGGTATCTCTGACAAGAAAGAAAACAAAAAACCTTCTCCTGCTACTCCACTTCCATCTTCTGATGAGAAACTGAATGATCTCAAGAAAGAGGTTCACCAGATGTCTGTTGAGAGAGAGACTTTCAAGCTTGAGATGATGAGTGCAGAGGCTATGATCAGTATTCTCCAGTCTAGGATCGATGCACTTCGTCAGGAGAACGATGAGCTCAAGAAGAACAGCGCTAATGGTCACTAAACTCTTCTTCTTCTTATTCTCTGCATCATTATCTATAGTCTCCCTAATATTATGAGCTATCTACGTTAGCTTCTTCAGAAACACTGAGAACTCTGTTGTAAAATTAGGATAAACTCTGTTTCCTATGTGATGTTTATGCATTAACATTTTCAGGTTTGGTCCAATTGTCATGTAATATCTATCATCTAATCTTTTCAGAGAAGAACATTCTTTGTTTGTTTCAAGAATGCTTGGTGTAAGCTAGTTTGGGCAAGATCGTTATTTATGGTTAACTCTGAGGGCAAAATAGTCTACGGATATATCATACGTATAAAGTTGTGTCTTTATGGAGAACAAAGTAAAGTGCTTTTCAAGTAAAAAAGTCGTGATGGGTTGTCAGAATAAAAGGACATTATCGACAATTCAGGTATAGGCTACGAACGCGATTGCGTCAGCGACGTTAGAAAACTTTTGTTACACGTTAACTTGCTATACTTTTTTACTGAAATGGGTTTAATACGACATAAAGCCTGGATTCCATTTTCGAATACATAATAAAATAAATAAATATTTAAATTTTATATCAACCTTTTTTTTTTTGGGCAACTAAATTTTATATCAACCTTTTAACACAAATAAGAGAACAAAATGATCTGAAAAGAAAATAATGATAAAACAATATAAATAAAAAGGAATATTTATTACCATAATAATAAAAATCAATATAAATATAAATCCAAGCAAAATCTTTAATATAAATTCGTTGACAAAGAAAAATTATATTTCCTCTGTTTTATAATAAGTCTCATTCTAACCATTTTTTCTTGTTACACAAAAACTGTTATTTTAAAATTTCAATGTAAATTATATTTACTTTATCTATATTAATTTTATAAATAATTTTATTTATCTAAAATACTATTGGTTAAAGAGATATAACTAATAACAACTTACATATATTTCAATCATTTTTTTAATCTATGTGGAAAAAAAAAATGTCAAAGTGACACTTATTTCAACGCATAGAGTAAAAGATAAATAAGAATTCACCATTTTCATTCATTCTTTTGGTGACAATTTAAAGTTGCATTCTTTTAAGAAAAGAACTATCTATTTCCAATTAAATTTGCTAATTTTATGTACATTTGCGTTTACCAACCATCTCAACAAATTCCAAAGACTAAAAATCTATGAGTCTAATGACTAGTCAAAGACTTCACACGTGTCCTTATATAAGTGACGGTCACTGATTATACATCACAGCTTGTCCCTATTATATTCTCTATTCGCACACTTTCCTCGAAGATTTTAAAACCTCGCGAAAGTAGTTGTGTTCGGTCCTCATCTCAAGTCTTCTCCGATTATCTTTTTCTCTCTTTCTTCACCGACAAGATTCCAAGACTCTGCTCTAAATAAAAAAACCATACATTGAATCCAAACCTTGTAATGGGTCGTGGTGGTGGTGACTCCTCAGAGACGACGTCGCTTGCTCCTGGCTTCAGATTCCACCCAACAGACGAAGAACTAGTTCGTTACTATCTAAAACGCAAGATCTGCAACAAACCGTTTAAGTTCGACGCGATCTCCGTCACACACGTGTACAAATCAGAGCCGTGGGATCTCCCTTCACAGTCTAAGCTGAAGAGCAGAGACTTGGAATGGTACTTCTTCAGTGTGCTCGACAACAAGTACTCAAACGGTTCCAAGACGAACCGTGCGACTGAGAAAGGTTATTGGAAGACGACGGGGAAAGATAGGGAGATTCGTAATGGGGCCAGAGTTGTTGTTGGGATGAAGAAGACTCTTGTTTATCATAAAGGTCGTGCTCCTCGTGGTGAGAGGAGTAATTGGGTTATGCATGAGTATCGTTTGGTTGGTGATGAGATTGTTAAAGATGGTGTTCAGAAAGTAAGTTTGTGTTTTTTTTTTTGGAGTTTTTGTTATGGTTTTTGTTGACTTTTTGTGATGTGTTGTGGTTTTAGGATGCGTATGTGCTTTGTAAGATATTTCAGAAGAGTGGGTCTGGTCCTAAAAATGGGGAGCAGTATGGTGCTCCGTTTGTTGAGGAAGAGTGGGAGGAGGAGGATGCTATGACTTTTGTACCTAATCAAGATCTTGAAGATCAGGTTTATGTTGACATCCATGACATTGTTGATCAGGTTTTTGTTCTATTAATGTTTGTCCTATTGCAATATTATGGTTAGTGTTTAGGCACTAGAATATTGAAATAATTGATACAGATGGTTGAATGATAATAGTACAAATAAGATGGAGGCAGAACATGTGATTATTTACTATTTAGAAGCCTTAGAGATTTGGGAGTGCTCTAAGAATTTACTTTTGATTTAGAGTATTTTAGTATTTACTGATCTATTGTGGTAAGCTTTTTGGTCCTATTGTATTCATGGAGGATTCACTCTTGAGGAATATAAGAAGCTTGATCTCTCTTCTAGGCTGTTGTTTCTTCCATTTCTGAAATTATTTTTTTCATTATTGTAGAAGCTTGATGTCTATGATGCCATTCCTATTCATTTGGGATTTGATCAAGGGGAAAGCAGCAATAATGTTGAAACAAACTATTCAGAGTCAAGAAACTATATCGAACCAGGAAACTATGTGCATGACAACTTTGAAGGACCAGTGGACCTTACAGAGGAAGAACAGAAGCTTATCATTCATGATGCATTGTTTCAAGATGAAGAAAATGGATGTGGAGTCCAGGAGGAGAGCAAGGAAAATTTTCAATCTTCTGACAGCATTTTCGACACTGATGCATCAGGCTACAATGATTTCTCTGTTGAGGAGTTTCTGAACCCGAACAGTAGTGATGGTTTGTACCTAGAGACAAATGATCTCAACAATACTCAGGAAGATGGTTTCAACTTTGAGGATTATCTTACTTTCTTTGATGAGGATGAGCAGAACTTGACTTTTGATCCTTCTCAACTGATGGGAACTGAAGATGCTATTCCTGATCAAGAAGAGCTCTTTCAAATGGTATACAAGCCTTTGTCTTTGTCTTTTACCTTTACCATTTTTTTAGTTTCCCTTTAACTCACCTTTAAAAAACTTACAGGCTGAGACTAAGGAAGCCTTAGGTGGCAAACAAGTAGATGCAGATGCAACAGAGTTTGAGCCAGGTAAACACACACTTTTTTTACCACAATCTTAACTTGCCTCACGTGTTATTGTTTACCTGATGGATCGTTTTCTAATAACCGCAGATTACAAGAACTCGGTACTCAAGAAGGCGAGTCACATGTTTGGTGCTGTTCCCTCTCCAAGTGAATTTGCTTATGAGTTCCCCGCAAAGGATGCAGCTATACGGCTACAAGCAGGACAATCATCAGGTTCGGTTCACGTAAGTATGATCACAATATCAGACAGCAAAAACGGGAACCTTGACTTGCTCCTTTCTTTCGGTCTGGTCCAAGAGAATGTGTCCGGAAAATCAGGAGATAATTTAACAAGAGTGATGCTAATCTTCGTTTGTTTCTGGGTCCTCTTGCTCTCAGTTAGCTTCAAAGTAAGCACTTTGGTTTCTTCTCGGTGATAATAATTATCACTAAAAAAACAAGACAAGACCTTTGTGTGTTGAACACATTGATTGTAATATAGGTTTACCTTGCAGTCTTGATACTGAATAATTCTATATGACAAATACAAAAAACATTCTATAATAGTGTATGTTTCAGAGTTCAAAGTTATCGCCTAAACTTCTTTTTATTACAAACATGGAGTTTTCTTCAATTAATAAACCAATGAGAGCTAGCACAACATCTAAAAAGCTTTGTCTATTACAAAGACTTAGAGTTTTATAATCCTTGAATCACATACCTCCATTGTTATAAGATTCTTCAATAAATTATTGATTAGTCACTTTTTCCAGTTAAATCTTTCACGGTTTTATTCATTTTTTCTAAAAAGTTTACAAACAACATAAAAGTGTCGAAAACAAAGGAGTAAACAAATCATTAAACCCGTGCTTTTTTTGTTGAGTGTTTCTTCTGTGACGAACCGTGAAGGAGTGAGTTTTATTTACTAAATTTCATAATTTAATTAAAATCCTGATTAGTCGCTTTATCTAATGACCAGTGGCACCTTCTCATGCCCCCATATATAAACTGCCGGCTCTCTTCTTCTTCCAGATTTTTCTCCGTTTAATTTTAGCAAACTTTTTTTTTATCGATTTGCTTCTTTCTCGTTCCGCCATTGACCAATTTACTCCAATAGGTATCTCTCGATCACCATTCTCCCCTTAATTTCACTCCGATTGTCCCGCATCGGAACTAATCAAACTTTTTTTTTCTTATTTCCAGGAAAATTGAAAATTTAGGGATTTTCCTCGGTGATTCTTAGATATATATTAAATATGATTATCATCAGGTGTGAATCGTTTTAAATGTGGAGATGTTGTGATTTAGATTCTGAGTGTGTGATGAAGCTTTTGTGTGTATTCTGATTTTGATTAAAAAAAAAAAAAGATTGTGAGGAGGATGACTGATATTGATCCTTTGCATCAAAAACCTGACTCAATGGACGGTTATGAGGATTTCATGGAAGAAGATTGCATCTCATTTGAGTCATGCAGCTCTATCCACAACCCTGAGAATGACCATGAACAAGAGGAGGAAGAACATCCTTTAAGGAGGAGGAGGAGAAGTCAAGGAGGTGGTGGTGATACAGCTGAGTCCTCTGCTGCAAGGCAGTCACGGATTTTGAGCCGGTGGGCTGCAAGGCAGGCTCAGGAGATGATTACAACGATTGAGAGGAGGAATAGAGAGTCTGAACTTATTGCTATCGCTGGTTTACATGCTGTCTCTACGCTTGATTCGTCTTTCCTTAGGGAGGAGGCGACTGTGTCGCCTCCTCCTCCTCCGTCTTTGAGGCGTCAGGAGAGGCCGAGGACTCAGGCGTCTGGGATTTTGCAGATGTGGAGGGAGTTGGAGGATGAGCATGTTTTGAGCAGGGCGAGGGAGAGGATGAGGTTGAGGGAGAGGAGTGGTGGTGTTGCTGAGAGTCGGGTGAGTGGGAACGAGGAGGTTCTGAGAGGGTCTAGTGAGAGTGAGAATGGTTATGGGTCTTCTAGTAGGGAACAGTCTCCTGATCTTGGCGATGTTGAGAGTGAGAGGGTTAGACATATTGTGCGTGGATGGACGGATGGTGGAGTTAGTGATAATTCATCTAATGTGAGACAGAGAAACGATAGAGGAGAATGGCTTGGTGATACTGAGAGAGAAAGGGTCAGGATTATCAGGGAGTGGATGCAGGTGACAACTCAGCAGAGAGGAGGAGGAGGTCGTGTAAGTCGAAGAGAAGATCAGCAACGTTCGACTGGCTCACAAGATGACAGGACTCATGAGAGAGCACCAGTTCAGAATGAGGAAGGGAGACGGGAGCATAGTCGTAGAGACTTGCGGAGGCTACGAGGAAGGCAGGCATTGGTTGACTTGCTCATGAGGATTGAACGAGAGAGACAGAGAGAGCTTCAGGGTTTGTTGGAGCATCGTGCTGTCTCTGATTTTGCTCATCGCAACCGGATTCAGGTTTGTTCTTAGGACATCATCTTTATCTTCGTTGGTCAAAACATGGGTTGCATACTTATAATAGGAGAGTAACAAACTAATGCCTTACAAGACCGAACCCAAATGCATGCTTTGGACCCAAATTCTATTACATGGAGTGTACATTGTTAACTAAACTACCAAAAGGTGTGAAAAGGAATTGAAGGCGTATTGTACACTAAGACTAGGCGGCTATCACCATGTATTAACTTAATGATAGAACCATAGGTCCGTCCGTCCTTGTAACTTGATTTAAAACGTTTTGTAAAATTTTCTACAGTCGCTTCTTAGAGGAAGATTCTTGCGGAATGAGTCACCTGCAGTGGAAGTTAGAGCTCCATCAATGGCAGCAAGTGAACTTCGTCAGCTAAGAGAAAGACAGACAGTTTCTGGTTTGCGGTAAAAACTTTTGTTCTTTCCCGTTGAATGGTTGAGCGTGAACATATACTTGTCACATAGTCGTGTGAAGTGTGAATGTGTTATATACTTGCATCTCATTTTACCTTCCCCCACTCAATGAAGATATGCATCTAATGGTTGGCTTTGCATTGTGACATTTTGGACACTCGCAGCTAGTTTCTCAATATTGGTATTGACTGTCACAGGGAAGGAGTTCGTGACAGGCTAGAAAGCAACACTAATGCCGATAACATCAGTACTTCCAGGAATAACCGAATAATAGCTAATACTTCCGAGGGTTCTCAGCCACTAAATGAGAGTTTAAATTCTTCTACCCCTCTCTTACCTAACGATTTGGGCAGCTCGGGAAGTAATGGAATAAATTCAGATAGAAATTGGGAAGAAGATACCAGTCAAGATAGGGTTTGGCCTGAAGTTTTCACAACAGATGAGGGGCGAAGTTTTCTGCAAGCAACGTTAAGCCAGCTCAGTGAAAGGGATAATGGTAACACAGGTATAAACGGGTCAGAAAACTCAGTTGGCGACATGCATCAGGACGGAACTGGTAACTCAAATGAAAATGTTATAGGAGAAGGTCAGAGTGTATGGCCTGCAGATAACTCCAGACAATCTGATGGGAATCAGCCTGAGACACCTTTTGGAGTCCCAAGGACTCGCCGTGGAGTACCAATGAGAAGGTTAAACAGGCTCCATCTACCTGATGATGATAACCTTAACAACAGCATTGAACTGCGGGAGCTACTAAGCAGGTACGGAGACAGAGGATTCGTTTTCACTTTCTTCCTCGCATATGTATTTTTTTTTTTAATGGCACTGTTTTCATTTCACTATTGTAGGAGAAGTGTTTCTAACCTTCTACGTAGTGGCTTCCGTGAAAATCTAGATCAACTGATACAGTCATATGTTGAGAGGAGAGGAGGACTTCCTCACATTGACTGGGATTTTCAACCAGAAACATTGGATTCTCAAGATCATCGTAGAGAGCAACAAGGGTTTCTACAGGACGATGATCAGCTTGACGGCATCAATCAATCTCAAACGCTGCCAACTCCACCAATGCCTCCACCACAGCCAATATGGCATCACACTAGCTACGCTCGTTCTTTGCGTAGATCTGAATTTGTAAGCCTAAATTTTCATTTTTCTTCTCTCTTACTATCAGCTTTGTTTCTGGTGCTTATGTGGTCGGTGGTGGTGAATAGGAATGGGAGATAATGAATGACTTGAGAGGAGACATGGCGAGACTTCAGCAAGGAATGAGTCATATGCAGAGGACTTTAGAAACATGTATGGATATGCAGTCTGAGCTGCAACGTTTGGTTAGACAAGAGGTCTCTGCAGCTTTAAACCAATCTCCCAGTGACAAAGGTTTTTATTTTCCCCTCCTTTCTATTTCCATCTCTAGTATTTATATCTAACGATATGTTAATTAAATGGATGATAGGTCTTGGACCAGGAACATCCGAAGATGGGTCAAGATGGGCTCATGTAAGGAACGGGACTTGCTGTGTCTGCTGTGATGCCGACATAGATGCCCTCTTGTACAGGTAGATTATTTGCTTAAACCCGGTTTGTTTGTGTGATTTACAGAACCAACACAAGTTAGTGTCTGATCATATCTTTGTGGATCTGTAGATGCGGGCACATGTGCACTTGCTCAAAGTGCGGTTACGAGCTGGTCCGAACCGGAGGGAAATGCCCGTTGTGTAGAGCGCCAATCCTTGAGGTAATACGAGCCTATTCTATCGCATAAGCCCTGTGAGATTGGAGAACAAGAGAACGGAATTTTTATTGATGTCTGAGCAAGAACAGGTTTGTAATCTTTGATATTGTTTCTAAAATATGCTTTGATCTTTTGCTTAAGTCATGTTGTCTCTAAGTTCTTGAAGCCATTGTCTCTGCAGATTCTTTCAGCGATGTTAACTCTCTGAAAGGGATCAAACCAAGAGCAGACACATTTATTCTGACATCAGTAGTTCTATTTATTTTATTTTTCAGTTGTTGAGTGTCATCACTGTTTAAAAAAAATAACATTACTAATTGAGTGATATTTCACAAAGATGATGATCGGGTGAAAAAATCATATTTGTGCATACAGAGACACCATTTAATAAATATCACTAATATTGTATATTTCTGCACATGTTCAAATCTGTATAAAAAGATCACAAATCTTCTTCCCCCAATCAAAATCATGCGCTACTCTTACATTTTGTCATTCTTCTTGTTTGATCCCCCTCATATATTAGATCAGTTTACACCTAAAGCCAAGATGATTGTATGCTAAAACCGGTTCGAGGTTAAACTTTTGTAACCCAATCTTGTTTCTCATAAAAGCATGTTCAAGACAAACAACCGTACCATGAATCTCCCTCACAATATCTGATCAAAATCCTTAATCAAAAATAGAAAGTCAAAGCATGTAATATTAGCACATACGCAAAATATGTATGAGCATATACCCAAATGATATTTAGGGTTTTTGTGAGTCTTCATGTTTCATCTCGGTCTTAATGGCTAAAGCCAAGTGAACTGATCATAAGCTTGAGACCAAGCTTCTTCCACTTCTTCATTGTATTTCTCTCCCAACCCTTCATTTAGTGTCCTCACCAAAGCCTCTTTCACCACCTGAACCACACACTCGAAATTATTTAGTTTCTTATAATTGAAAATCAATTAAAACAATATTAACAAAAATAAATACCTCAAAATGAGGATCAAGAACGCCACTTTGAGATGAACAGACCCCAAGTATTGGAGGGTTGTGTCAGCTACCCCTACCTTTCCTTTCTCTCTCAGCTGTATTGCTGTTTCACATGTCTATACCCAAAAAATACAGTATTTAAATACCATAAAATTAGTTTTTTTTTATGGTTAATAATTAGGTTATTTTAAAAAGATCTTAGTAGATATCTGTCAAAACTAAAACACTGGCTTGTTATCCTACTTTTTCCTACTTTACCAACTAAATATAAGCCAAAACGAACCCCTTGGATTCTTCAGTAATATATATAGAGGAAGATGTATGTTTTTGATAAGGAAGATGTATATGCTTGTTTTAAATGGATTTTACGACATATATATTAATTGTTCTTTACTAAGACGAATCAATAATATTATCTCCAAGAAGAAGACAAAGCCAACTAGCCAAGTCCAAACAAGATAGACCGCAATCGTGTGCACATGGCTACGCGAATGTAAAATGTATAATATAAGTTGACAAGTCAATAAAAATTCTTAATTAGCTGTACTAATATGAACCATCTACAAAGGTGTAACTAAGATTATGATACGATTCTATGCAAGTCATACACAAACACATATTATATGTATAAATCGCAAAAGAAAATATTAAACAAACAGGCAAGTAAATACCATCTTGAAGACTTAAACAGCATGAGCTTTGAGTTTAGGATTGTTGTGAGGGACTTCATCTGAGTCTCTTAGGAAAGAGAACATGTTCTTTGCTGCTGGTGCTATCTCCAGTATCCTATATATTCATCATTATATTGTTCACAACTGCACATATATAAACAAGTTACAGAGCTTATGCTTTGTATAAATGTTTATGTATATATGATTACTGTGAGAAGAAGTGATCAAGACTGTATTTGGGGATGTCTTGCTTCAGTATCTCCCAAGACTCCTTTACATCAAAGCTTCCTGCTTCTCTGTAAACCCAATCTCGCCCATCTCTACCCTTTTAGCTCTCTCTCAGACTCTCACTCTCAATTTTAGTCCTATATTTTGTTAGAACTTTCACTATATATACAGAATCTTTTAGCCTGAATATTAATTACTTTTCTTTGACCAAAAAAAAAGAATAATAATTTCTTATCATGGGCCTTTTATGCCCCTTACAAAATCCCAAAAGATGCTCGGTCCAATACATATTTGGATCTCTACCTATTTACTTCATCGCCAATAAACCAAACCAAACAAAAATTTACTTTAATTTAACTTGGTAAGTTTTCCAGTCCAACTGACAAAACCCAAGTGTTTAAACTTTAAACTAAACCGATTAATTAATTCGTAAGAAACTTTTTAAAACAATTTTTTTAAAACCATATGTATGCTCACTCCTGAGTGATCAAAACAAGATTGAAGTTAATATTCATAAGTTTGTTTGATTTTAGAAACATTTTTTTTCTCAAAATAGAAAATAAATAAATCCATTAATTAGTTTCGAAAATGTTGCTCATCTTACATGCGACATGATGAGGAGGATACCGTATGCACCTTGTTTTAAAAATAAAGAGACATTATGGTATATATTGTGTTAAAAAAAGAAGACATTATGGTATATACACACTTGATTTTTTCATATTGAATAACACAATCATCAATCATGCATGAAGAAGTGAAAAAGAGTTGCTTATGTTCTAAGACAGTTTACTTGTTGGTTGCGTAGACATGGCTCCTCCTTCGTTGCAGGACCATATCATTACTTCTATATTTAATTTCCATTTCAATTTCATTGGTCTAATAAATAACCCCCATTGATTATGTTTTGGTCACAGGGCCATATAATTACTCTATGTAGTTGTGTTGGTCTGGTGAGTAATCTTCTTCCTTCTGTCCCCCAGTAAAAGTTAAAATAATCTACATTTTTAACAACAAATTAACATATGCATAATTCCCGGCCACCAAACGAATTAGCTGGATTCATTTCAATAATCTTTTCTAAGTACAATGTGATTGTTTTGGAGATTGTAAAGAATTAACGGATGAGTATCAACTTCGAACTTTGAAATCTCTAGAATAATTTCTTATAGCTCCTATAGTATACAAAATTGAATTGCATAGTATCTACAGATCCCAAAGTTACGTCTTTCTCTCTACCGGCCGGTCAACTTGTCAGAAGCAGCCATGACTTTCTGATCAACAAATTTGATATAATACATATATAGCTAAGTTAATTATACATGTGCATACTTTTTTTACTAAGCTAATATTAAAACATTAGTTTATACAGATGTTTGCATAAATCAAGGCTTCATTTTCTCTGCATTGTTGCTTTCACAACGTAGCACACGCAACTGATAAATATTCTACCAAATTAGCACCTAATACTTTCAAACGCAATTAGCATTTTTGATAATCTAATTATTTAACTTCTATTATTTTAAAATATAATAAATATTAGAAATTTATTCATACTAATGAAAGTGACTGAACGCAGTTTTTGAAAGCGCACCGTCAGAACTAAACAATAATAGAAATTCTATATATGTAATATTCAAAATATGAAATAAAATATGTATTATAACTTATAAAACATATATAAATCTGTATGAAAATAAAAAATGGAGTCTTAGGCATTAATATGTATGAAACTAGAGTAGAGTGTGAACTTCGTTTCATTTAATTTCACTGATTTTAAAATTGTCTAATTATACTTCTAACGTATTTATCGATTTGGACATAAAGCGAATTTACTATTTTCATCCATGACGCTGGACGATAATAACTCGATCTTGTCTCTTATAAGTCACATAAATATCCAAATTATTATTAGAAAACTTGGCAATTGGAATCAAATTTCATTTATTACGGAATTTACAACAACGACCCCTCCATGCCAAATAAATATGCGGTTGCAGAAGATCATCCATCTATCTTATATAAATAAAATAAAAAATTTAATCTTATAATAATCTTTCAATTTATATGAGTTCACAATATTTCCAGTAAAACTGTAAAAAAATGTAAATTCTTGAACTAAAGGCTCATCTTCGTGCACATGAAGGATAACTTCTCCTTCGTTTCGCTGTGGTCGACATGTCACTATAAACGGAGGTGAAGAAACGGTCAATCTCTTCCCGGTTCATGACAACCTCACAAGTCGACACTAAGAGCTTCCTCTTACACGATCTGATCATCAGAGCCGCCGTAGGCGACGGTTTTGACGGCTGTGAACGAGGTTTCCGTGGCGGGGGAGGTGGAGAATCGAGGACGGGAGGAATCTTGTGTTCTTGAGATGTGGGTGTGCTGCAGCTAAAGCCCTGGTCGTTATCATCGCCCTCGTTGTTGTTTCTTGATGTTTTGGATCGGATCTTGATGGTTGCTGGGAAACTGAACTTGGGCAGATCTTGTAATAACTCAAGATCCATATCTATAAGAGTATAAGTGTGTGTGTGCTTTTGTGGATTTAGTAAACTTGCTGGAGAAGTGAGGTTGAGAGGGGTTTGTTATATGTGTGTGTGTCTTTACATACATATATATACACATAAAGGTAGAATGTCGCATTTAGAAACGAGAGTTACCTTTTGACATGATTGCGAAAAATAAAATAAAATGAAGATAAGCAATGTAAATATATATAAGAAGGAGAATGGACGTAAATTTCCTAAATGAGTAAAATAAAAGTATTACTAATAACTTATTAGTAATAAGGAAGGGGTGATAAGTTTTGGGCAGTTGTTTTTGTATGTATGTACAACTAGAGCACACGTGGTTCACCATTTTGATAGGGTTTACCTAGTTTTCTGAAAAACAATTTTTATATCAGTGAGTTTTTAATGGAAAATATTGTATTAGAAAATAGCGAGGCATCTTAGAAAGTGTATAAAAATATTTATATGCTCTCTAATCTCTATGATTTTATCTAGAAAGCGCATTTTATTTAATGATTGCAAAAGTAAAAAGCAAAATTAAGGAACCGTTGTTTAACTAAAAAAATCGAAAAAAATGATCTGCGAAAATGTTTTTCTACAATGTTGTGGTATTATGTAAAACGGGTCGAGAATTGTTTTGGGTTTTTGAAAGTAATATAATAAATGTCGGACAAGAGCATAATCGACATGAATATAATGAAAACATTAGCTCAAACCAGAAGAAGTATAGAGATAAACATCGCTCAAACTGTTAGTTTAAACGACCTTAGTTCACGCTGAAGACATCTGAATATAAACCCCACCGTCACACAAAGGTAGCATCCCCATGCATACATTTATATGGGAATAATAGAGACTTTACAGGCAGAGACAGTTGAGACGTTACATTTCAGGTTTTGTTTTATTCACCAATAAATTGTCCATCAAAACTCGTTACTTTGTTAGCCAATGAAAAAAAGTAAGGAAAAAAAAATAAGATGTAATTTCCTTACATTTTTTTCAATAAACCTCAATATCTTTGGGTATAGCCTTTGTATTTTACTATAACTTTTGTTGTAATGTATTTTTTTGTGGAAGAATAATAACAAAAAAGCTTACAAATTTCTTACATCCGGACCTTCCAGCATCTGAGACCGAAAACCGTTATTAGGTGAGCACGTTCTGACAGTGTCTTTGTTCATTTTGGTCTCTGGTCTGGACCATTTCGGTGACGTCAAAATACTCGGTTAGTAAAAAAAAAAATCACAAAAAAAAGAGAGACAAATTTAGCTCTAAGTTTGGAAGGGTAGTAATGATCAGAATGAAATGACGGGCCATAACAAATGAAACAAACGCAAATGGTGTTCTCGTACCACCTGTCTCCTATCTAAAGACGTGTGGGTTATGGCTCAGCGATAACATTTAAGCTTGCATATATACAGAAACTTTTGCTTGATCAAAAAAACTATTAACCATCGAAATAGTAGTGATACCACTATGGGTAAAGTAAAGTACATACACAGTGAATATAAATTCCAGATCAACGTCTTATCACAGATCTCAAACATAAAGTTTGGTTATTAATACATGTGTCTCGTACCTACTACAACCTAAAGACATGGCATGTGTTTAGATTTAGACACTAGTCCATGCATCATTATATTTTATCTAAACAACTGACTGGAATCAGTTTTTGTGTTTTTTTCTCCTTAATTAATTAAATGTCCAATGTGAGAAGTATAATCTTTATGTGACATTATGATTTCAATATATACGATGGACCACCAACGTTTTACACGCCGACTTTAATTATATACAAAATAGACCATGACATATATATATATATATATATAACAATTATTTGGCTGTAGCTTGCTACTGGCTAGCTATCTAGTTATGATTCAATTCCTATTAGTGGTTGCATTTTGGTCTAAATATTTGTTTCATAAGATATAATAATGAAACTGCAGCCTCTAATTGGTTTGGTTTGTTTTAGCTTTAGTTTATTATACTTTGCTACGTCGACTTTTTGTCATCAGTATGCTATATATGTCGTATTTGAAGTTAGATTTGATTATTCTGAACATGTATATACATTAGCTGCGCTGCGTGATGTACAAAAGTATTAATATAAATTACAATTACTGTGTAAATATACGGCAACGTATGACAAATTTTTGGACATGCCACGTATCTAATGCATGTGGTGATGATATAGAGTAGATCTGTGGAAGTGAGTCAGTCTGAATATCCAAATAAAAAAGTACAGAAGTGGAAAGATCTATATGATCGCTCGCAGGAGATCTCGATCTCTTGTTTTTTTTATTTATGTTTTGTCAACCTTCACTCACTTCTTTATTTCATTTTTTTTGGTTATTCTAAACTTTTTTGGTGTGGGGTCTATTGACATTGACACGTTTTCTAGTTTTGATTTAGATACAAAGGGAGGCTTGGACAGAAACATGCATATGGACTCAGGATAAGCCGATGTTATCTATGAGGCTACGAAACCATACAATCACAATCAAACAATCTGTATCATTTGTAATCCAACAATTCAATTATACTCGAGGTTGAAGTTTTGGTGGTCCAGCTAGCAACTTTGATTTGGCCAAACCGAGCCGTCTAAAATTAAAACCAAATTACATTATGGTTTCTTAAACCAAAAACGAAATGGGATATATATGAAAACAATGGACTCAGAGGTCTGTAAAGTCCTAGAAATGTAAAATGAGAGAATTGGTGAAATAACAAAAAAAAAACTCTGAATCTGTAATGAAATCATAGTTTAATAGAAAGTAGATCTTGTTTTAACTGGTTTCAATATATATATTTCCTATAAATGGACAAGTTCATGAACCGAAAGAGGACACAAAATAAGATTAGGATACTTTGGTTGATCGATTAAAAGTTCTACACTATCAGACACATATTATAAGATATTCATAATACAACTTGAGTTGGAGGAAATATTCATAGTATTTTCAAGGTATGAAACACGATGGCCCTACATTACAGGGTGATAGCAAAGAGTGTACATCGTAGGCATAAGAATCACTATTACAGGTAGATTACAATTTACAAACAATACAATAAGAATGATTTTTTTTGGGAGATTTGCCAAAATGCCCCAAAAAATTAGACATGTTGTCTCTCATCACACCTTTCTTCTATTTTTCCTATTTGGAAAAATCCATATAGTTGATCAAATCCAAAAAAACATAGGATTCTAAAATGTTTCTGTTATTTTTTTTGCTCTCTAGAATGCATTTTAAACTTTAAACTATATCTTTTATACAGATAATTTGTATACCAATAAAGAAGAAGATACATGTGTCTCATATTAAGATCATACAGAATTAAAAGGTTCAAGTAAACCTTAGATCCGATTGAATATTATATTGGTTTCTAAATGCGTGATAAGTTTTGATGGTTATATCATTTGCGGTGTGGAATATTTAGACTAGAAAACTAGCTATGTTCCTAGCTAGTTAAACCGAACCTACCACATTTTTAATTTATCCAAAATGGGAGTATATGACTCATTTATGATAGCAACCATCATTTAGACATTTACTACAAGTGTTACCCGGATCGACGACCGACATTGTAAGGCACATGATAATGTGTCAATAAGATGAACTGTGCGGGTGGAATCCATATGGTAACGTAGTAGCGACAATAACACAATCTACTAGTAACTACTCTTTTTTTGTTCCTTGATACTAGATTACATTTGGGAAGTGATCCGTAAGAACTATGTTTAGGACCATAATATTTTCTTTTCACAGAAGAAATATTTTCTGAAAATTATATTACTAAATTTAACTAGTTTATATCCGAAAATAAGTGATTGAATATTGTGGTGCATGTATGTATGATGATGTATAGATAAAATTTGCTCGCTGACCAAAATTAAATGATCTACAAACATTTTTTTTGTTTGTAAAGCGGATCGATATATTATATATATCGACATGTACATATAATATCAGTGGTATTTTAATTTTATGGTATTACTTGTATTTACGTATAGATATGAATAAAATAATAATATACTATGACTAGCATTCACCACCGTTTTAGCATTTTATATGTTGTAGTGTACAATGTAGACAAAGAGAGCAAGTGAAACGTAACGTGCATGGCCTCCAAATCATGAACTATTCATGTATTCTTTTTGTTATCTATTCTTCCTACTAATAAACTTAGCTATTTCACAATAGAAATATCATATACTTCCAAAGACTATATATACCAAACGACACCAAAGTTAAAGATAAGGAGATGGCTCTTCCTTTGGATGGCTTAAGGAACATATTCAATTGTCTCCCTATCACAGAAATGAACGGATTGATGATTGTATCGATCATACAACTTTAAAATGACATGTATATTAACTCTTTTAATAATCTAACCAAGGAAAGTTATCGCAAGATGTTGTTTTATGATAGTAGTTTTTTTTTGTAACTTTGTTTTATGATAGTAGCTGTCAGGTGTTTACTCACTACATTTTATGAAAATATTGCTACTACTATTGAAATGTAATCAGAATTATGATTGTTAATATAAGCAAGACTAGTCCTGAAAAATACAGATTTGGAATCCAATGTTTTCTGCGCTAGTTAACAAAAAAATAAAATAATAATAACAAACAATATATGTCCTACAGCTCCAAGAACAGGATGGTCCGTTACGGGATCACTTTCAAGTTTCAAGAAATGGGTGAAAACATTAAAGCTAAGCTAATTAAAATATTCAGTTTTGGTAAACAACTTCCATACACAATAACACAAATATTTATATACAGTATAATAATTTTCTTGTGCTAAAAAATATGAAAGTTGTTTTGTATTACACCAATAAGCTTCTTTCAGATCAGGCCCAATTGAGAGTTATTTAGGCCCACTAAAATGATTTTTTTTTCTTTAAACCATGAAAATTACAAAACCCTCAAACCAAGTCACCATGTCGGAGCTTCTCAGTGTCTCTCGCCAATTAACACAGTTTTCTGCTTAAACCCTAATTCACGCCGTCTTTTTTAAACTCAAAGCTTCACCGTTGTCTATTATTTCTCCGCGCCGCCTCCTCTAATCTCAGGTGAATCTAATTTAAAGTTTCAATCTTTTCTTACGTTTGTCTCAATCTCTTAGCTGTATTCAATCGGATTGAATAACAATCTAAGTTAGTTTTAGGTTTAGGTTATAAGGAGGAATTGCAAGTAACAAGATGGAGGTTGCTTTAGAGGATAACAATCCCATGGAGAAGGTCCTGCCTCCTGATGAGCAGGTAAAACTACCTTTAGAGTCTCAAAAATGCTTTATTGTTTGTGGGTTTCAGTAAAGTTGAGACCTTTGCTTCAAATTTGTGTGCAGGAGATCGATGTTGAGTTGGAGGCTAAAGAAAAGAAATATCTTAGAGGAGAAGGTGCTAACTTAGAGGTATATATAAGTGTTTTAATGATTATTGCTTTTTGGTTTTGAGAAGTGGAGAAGTTGAGTGCTTTTCTTCTTGTTTATGCAGACATTGAAAGATAAGAAACTAAAGACTCAGCTTGCTTCACGAGAAAAGTTGTATGGGAAGTCCGCAAAAGCTGCTGCTAAAATTGAGAAAGTAAGTTTACTCTTTTAGTCACATTCCTTTGTTCTTTGATAATTTTAGTTGGTTTCGAATATTAAGTATTGTCTTGTTATCTGGTTTGTGTTTATTATGTAGTGGCTCTTGCCGGCTTCGGCAGGGTACTTGGAGACTGATGGATTAGAGAAGACTTGGAGGATCAATCAGACGGATATTGCCAAAGAAGTAGATAAATTGAGCACAAGAAACCAATATGACATAGTGCTCCCAGGTAAATACTCAATAGCTTCTTTTCAATTGGAGAACTACATGTTATGTATGTATAGATAGATTAAGCTATACATTTTTATGTGTGTTTCTGATCTACTTTTTTACTGATACATGTGAACGCATGTAGATTTTGGTCCTTACAAGCTTGATTTTACTGCAAGTGGTCGGCATATGCTAGCTGGTGGTCGCAAAGGCCACCTTGCTCTTGTAGACATGATGAATATGAACTTAATTAAAGAGATCCAGGTCAGTTTATTTCAAAGTTTCATAATAATTTTTATGTAATTTTTATGATTTAGATCTTGACAGAAGTTGATCTTATCTGCAGGTAGGAGAAACAGTACGTGATGTTGCATTCCTGCACAATGACCAATTCTTTGCAGCTGCTCAAAAGAAGTATGTAGTTAACATCACTTTATGTATGCTATGACTCCTTGTCTCTTGGAGGGTTCTTGGACTAATATTTTGACTCTTTGTTTTCTTATAGGTATTCTTATATTTATAGTAGAGATGGAACTGAGCTCCATTGCCTGAAGGTCAGCTTTATTAATTTTTTTTTTGGTTGGATCAAAGAAAGAAAAACCTATCCCTAATGTTCTTGGTTATTGACTTCAAACTTTGTATAACTTCAGGAACGTGGTTCAGTAGCCAGACTCCGATTCCTAAAGAACCATTTCCTACTAGCATCGATAAACAAAATCGGACAGCTACATTACCAAGACGTAACCTATGGTAACATGGTGGCTAGTATCAGAACAGGTAAAGGCAGAACAGATGTAATGGAAGTGAATCCTTACAACGGTGTAGTTGCCTTGGGACATTCTGGTGGAACCGTCACAATGTGGAAACCCACCAGCCAAGTACCTCTAGTCCAAATGCATTGTCACCCTGGACCAGTCTCCTCTGTAGCCTTTCATCCAAATGGCCATCTCATGGCTACATCTGGTAAAGAGCGCAAAGTCAAGATCTGGGACCTGCGTAAGTTCGAGGAGATTCAGACTATCCACGGTTTCCATGCCAAGACGTTGAGTTTCAGTCAGAAAGGTTTGTTAGCAGCTGGGACTGGTTCGTTTGTTCAGGTTTTGGGAGACTCTAGTGGTGGTGGTTATAGCAGATACATGAGCCACTCGATGGTGAAAGGTTACCAGGTGGAGAAGGTTATGTTCAGACCGTATGAGGATGTTCTTGGGATTGGTCACTCTATGGGATGGTCTAGCATTCTTATTCCAGGGTCTGGAGAGCCTAACTTTGATTCTTGGGTTGCTAATCCGTTTGAAACTTCGAAACAGAGACGTGAGAAGGAAGTTCATTTGCTTCTTGATAAACTCCCACCAGAGACAATCATGCTTGATCCTTCAAAGATTGGTGCCATGAGACCTTCGAGGAGGAAAGATAAGCCTACGAGAGGAGAGATAGAAGCTGAGAAAGAGGTGGCGATTGAGGCAGCAAAGAGTGTTGAGCTGAAGAAGAAGACTAAAGGAAGGAATAAACCAAGTAAGAGGACTAAGAAGAAGAAAGAGTTGGTGGAGAATGCTAAGAAGACGTTCCCGGAGCAAGAACACGGCAACGTTGCAGGACAGAAGAGAAGAATAGGTGAAGTTGCTGGGGCTGAGTTGCCCACAAGTTTGAAAAGGTTTGCTCGGAAAAACTGAATGTGATGTGAAAGTCAAGATGAGGTGGATGAGTTTGTGGCAATGTCTGAAGATTTTGTATTTTAATTTTGTTTTTTTTTCTCGTTATAATTGTTTCTTTGAACTTGAACTTTGAAGATGTAGCCCCCCCCCCCCCCCCAAAAAAAAACTAAACTCAAGTTCCATTGAATCATTCAAAATTCAATTTCCATTTGGTTAGAAGTTTGGTTCGATCCAGTCATTTAACAATATACGAATACAATATAGAAAATGGTTAGAATTTTTTAACAAAACTAAATAGTATAAAGCTCAGTATATAGAACATTTAACGAAAGCTCAGTATATTTAATGATGGTCAAAGAGGTTTAAAACTTTTGTTGTCTCAGTTTCTCTATATCATAAAATTCCATAATGATTAATCAACTAATTTAATTTAAGTAGTGTATGAAATTTTATTGTTTCTCTATATCATAAAGTTCCATAATGATTAATCAACTAATTTAATTCAAGTAGTGTATGAAATTTTATTAAATTAATTATTAAAAAATTAATACGATGTCCATGTACTATAAAAAAAGAGATAAGCATACTTTAATACACACAGAAAATATGGTTATAAAATTTTAAACAATGCTAAAGAGTATAAACTTTGGTATATAGAGCATTTACAAAAAAATTCAATATTTTTGTAGGAATTAACCTACAAATTTTTGAGAGAAAATAGAAAAAAATATGAAAATTATGTTTTAAGGCATAGTGTCATTGTTCATTAGCATAAAATGACGATCAAAGAGGTTTAGAACCTTTGTTGTCTCTGTTTCTCTAGAGAATAGAGTTTCGTAATGAAAATTATGTTTTAAAGCATAGTTTCATCTGACATAGGATGACGATCAAAGAGGTTTAGAATCCTTGTTGTCTCTGTTTCTCTAAAGAATAAAGATTCGTAATGGTTAGTCCACTAGTTTTATTAAATTAATGGTTAACAAAACTAAAACTAACCTAATTTATCTGAAATTTAACAAAACTAAACCAAATTCCAATGGTTAAATTCTATAGGTTTCAAAAAACCAAAATAATTGAATACCAAACCGAACCAACTTTTATTTCGGTTTAATTTGGTAAGATTTATGTCAAACAAAACCAAATGAATCACCCGAACCGAATGGCCTGGACTAACCAAACCGTACGCATAAAGAAAGAATCTTTGAAACATTTTTTTTTTTTTTTTTGAATTGAATGTTAAATTTAACTCAAAAGAAAAAATACTGTTTTACAACAAGTGCAGCAAATCTAAAAAACTTAAGAGAATACATCAAAAAACTTCAAATTTTGAAACCAAAGCAAAACCAACCAAGACATCCCAAAACACTCCCCCATTCTTAACCATGTGGAACAAGTCAAGTTTGGGGAGGTTAAGAAACTCTCCTCATTAAAACCTCATTGAGAAAACCCAATTGGGACAAAACTCAATGAGGAAAAAGAGTAAGAGTTTAATAACCATAAGAGTGTAATGAGAAGCTAGACAAATCCGAGAAAAGAAAACCTCCTTAAAAAACAAAACCAAGCTCAACTTGAAAAGCAGTCCACCAACTCCATCTACTCACTCTGAGCCATATTCCTTGTTGCGAGCCAAAACAGCAAGCCATCATCATACTTACTTCCTCCCATTCTTTTGATAGTGGTAAATCTATCCTTCATATTCCTGTCAAGCAAGTGAACCAATCTGCTTACAGGAGACGGCTTTTCACCATGCCTTCTAGCATTTCGTTCTCGCCAAATAGCATAAATAGTAGCCTGAAAAACATACTTGAGAACAAAAGTAGGCATCCTCCGCTGCTGTGTACTGGCAATAATAAGACAAATAATCTCATGCCACTTCTCAGTATAGCTATCCCTTAAGAAACCCTGAGTAAGCATTCTCCAAACTTCCTCAGAATAGCTACACTCAAAAAAGAGATGCTCCCTGGTTTCAATTGGCTCCTGGCAAAGAATACAAGCAGAGCTAATATTTGAATTCCAACTAAGCATTCTACTACCCGTCGGCAGCCTGTTATGCATTGCAACCCATTGTATAAAAGCATACTTTGGAGTTGCATAACTGAACCAAACAACTCTATCCCAACCACACTCTGGGAGATCCTCTCTTATCAGTAACCAAGTATTTTTCGTGGAAAAGATTGCTTTGTATTGATCATCTCTATATCTCCATAGAGCCTTATCATCATCACTTCTATTCCCAATTCTCACCGAGTCAATAATCCCCTCCATTTCATCAAATAAACCAACCCGATGTCTTCTCCTCCTAGTGGCATGAATCACTTCATACACAGTAGCATTTTCTTTGACACCCATTTCAATAAATCCCCTGTCTCCACAAAGATCCCAGAGCCTTCCCATCCGCGACCATGAATCAAACCAGAAAGAGGTTTTTCTGCCATTATTAACCTCTACTCTATGGAGCTTCTTAGCTATCTCTCTGTATTTCAATAACTTCCTCCATATCCATGACCCTTGCTGAGTAGCTTTAGCCAACCAAATAGAACCTCTCCGAATAAGATAAGTTTGAATCCAACTCACCCAAAGCGAATCAGCAGAAGAGAGTAAACGCCAAAGAAGCTTTAAACAACAGACCACATTTGCTTCTTTCAAGGGCTTAATACCCAGACCCCCTTCACTCTTCAGCTTACAAATCTCATGCCATGATATTTTTGCTGAACGACCCTTCAACTTTGGACCAGACCAGAGAAAGGCAGCACAAAGTCTTTCAATCTCCTTTAAACACTCATTTGGTAACCTGAAAGCAGACATCCAAAAGTTTATTAGACTTGTAATGACAGAGTTAAGTAATTGCAGCCTTCCTGCAAAAGACAAGAACCTCCCAGTCCAAGATTTAATCCGCTTTTGTATCTTCTCAACAAGTGGCAAATAATCACCAACAGTCATACGCCTAGTAAGGAGTGGTAACCCCAAATATCGGACAGGCAAGGTACCTTCTTCAAAAGGAAAATGCTCAACAATATCGCTTTGATTTGTTTGGGAAACACCCGCCATAAAGAGTTTTGATTTCTCAAGACTTATATGGAGACCAGACATTTTCCCAAACTCATCAAAAACATGAAGAATCCCTTCAACGGATCTCTTAGTACCATCCGCAAACACCATGAGATCATCAGCAAAACACAAATGTGTTAGATTGATATTTTGGCATCTTGGATGATAACCAATACTCTTCTTCAATCTTTGAAACATTTCCCCAACAAGGTCCGTCCTTGCTTGATAAACCAAAACAAAAATTGTCATTACAACATACAAGTCAATGTTTTGTTAACCCAATGATTCCATTGGTCCAGACTCCAAGCCCTTTTAGAAACATCTTAGCTTCATTTTTTTTGTGCAACAGAACATCTTAGCTTTAATGTAATAAAAATAGAAACAATTATTTCCCTTTAAAAAAAAATTAAAAATTTGAAAGTGTCACAATTCTTCTCTCTCTCTGTCCGATCCGATTCTTCTTCGTCTTCTTCACCTCCTCTCCTAATCTCCATCTCCGAAATTGAAACTCAAAACCACCTGAAAAACAACATTCATCATCATCAATAGATCCAATGGCTATCTCCACTTTCTGATTAGTCTCATCGATAAACATAAAACAAAGTAATTGATGACAATGGAGAAAGAATTCGAATCAAAGCTTAACCTACAAGGCAACGGTGACAACGGAGCCAGCATATCGAGAAGCAAAAGCTTCGCATTCAAAGCTCCTCAGGAGAATTTCACAATCCAAGATTTCGAGCTCGACAAGATCTATGGCGTTGGCTCTTATTCAAAGGTCTCATCTTTTACCTTAAAAATCGATCCTTTTAGAGAAATTTGGCTTATGGTTTTAGTTTAATTGGGAAATTTACAGGTTGTTAGGGCGAAGAAGAAGGAGAATGGAGCTGTGTATGCGTTGAAGATAATGGATAAAAAGTTTATTACTAAGGAGAATAAAACTGCTTATGTTAAGCTTGAGAGGATTGTTCTTGATCAGCTTGATCATCCTGGGATTGTTAAACTCTTCTTCACGTTTCAAGATTCTTTCTCACTATGTATGTTGTTAACATTCTTCCATAGAGTATAGACTGTTAATGAATGGTTGAAAAATCTCACATTGGTAGTTGAAGAATTAATTTACTAATAGCCAAATTGGTTTTTGCTTGGAAGGCCTGGCCACACTGTATACTCTCTGTGCTTGAACATTAAGTGAGCTTTGGTTCTTTTGTCTTTTGTAGATATGGCGCTTGAATCTTGTGAAGGAGGGGAGCTTTTTGACCAAATCACTAGAGTAAGATATTACTATTACTATTCAGAATCTGTGAGATTGGTTTATGTTGTTGAAATGTAGTGTTGTGTTGTGTTTTTAATGGCAGAAAGGACGTTTATCAGAGGATGAAGCTCGGTTTTATAGTGCACAAGTTGTGGATGCTCTTGAGTATATACATACTATGGGACTCATACATCGGGATATAAAGGTACTAGCTTCTTCTTTGATTTAGCATTTGACCCAAACAAGGTTTTTTTTTGCTGAGTTGTGTTTTTGAATTGAGTAGCCGGAGAATCTGTTGCTGACTTCAGATGGACACATTAAGATTGCTGATTTTGGTAGTGTAAAGCCTATGCAAGATAGCCAGATCACTCTACTTCCCAATGCTGCTTCCGGTAATATTTTGTTCAATGTCCTTTCCTAAGACTTTTGGTTGCTTTTGCAAGCCTGTATGTAAACTGGTGACTTATGCAGATGATAAGGCTTGCACTTTTGTTGGGACTGCTGCATATGTTCCTCCTGAAGTTCTCAACTCCTCTCCAGCAACTTTCGGGTAAGATTCTTGTGTTAGAACAAACTTTTCATCGCTATATGATGAAGATGGAGCTTTTAAATCAAAGCTTTTTTGGTTCTGTGGATTAATGCAATGCCTCTTACTTGTAAACAATTTTCTATTGGTGTTTTTGGAACATATTTCAAACAGAAATGATCTCTGGGCACTAGGCTGCACTCTATACCAAATGCTTTCAGGAACTTCTCCATTTAAGGATGCAAGTGAATGGCTAATTTTCCAAAGGATTATAGCGAGAGATATTAAGTTCCCTAATCATTTCTCAGAAGCAGCAAGAGACCTCATTGACCGATTACTAGTAAGATATG